AAATAAATAATAATAATAATAATATTAAAAACACATATTGGTATACCACAAAAGAAGCAAGTGGAATTTAACAGGGAGAGATATGATATACGATAATGCAGAAAAATAAAGATATAGATAGAAATAAATAGCCATTATTAAATAATATCGAAATGGATATATAAAAATAGATAGAAAACTATAAACATAAAGAATTAAGATAAACGATAAATATAAAAATATAGAAAAAATTAGGCATAAGCCGAAATAATCACGGAAGATAGAGATAAAAAATATAGAGAAGTGCAAATTTCAGAAAGAAATAGATTGGGGGGGTCTATAGAGATACAAAATAAATAGAGAAAGAAAAAGATTATAAAATAGACCAACAATATGGAAATACCGGCATTTATTTTTCGAGAAATTTCGACTCAAACAAATTCCAAATTTCCCCGGACATTTAACCGTGCAATTCTACAATTCGTTAGATCGAAAATAGCGAAAAATTATAACACGGCAAAAAAACCATTAGAAACAGAACCATTCGCCACAACACACTACGATTCTGCCGGAATAACGCTATAACGATGTCAATGCACGTAAAATACGACCTCGAAATCGTACCGGTTTATAAGAATTTTTTATTATTTTATAAATAATTAATTTTAAAAAAACTTAATTATACATTATATCAATATAATTTTACTTATAACATAAACCCTTACCCCCACCTCATTCCCAAAATCCGAATTATACAACAATATAAAACATCATATTACTAAAAACAAATCTCACCCAACAAACTTAAATCATTCTTCTAAACACAAACCTAAAATTTATGTTTCATATATCTTACCCTTCATTTCACCCATCTTTATTAAAACAAACACATACAAAAATTTTATAAACATAACAAATCCAACTAAACACCAAACATAATTAATATAAAAATAAATCAACACACCACTATATATATATATATATTTATAAATAATCCCAACAAACACCAGAAACAACAAATATAAAAAAACACACAACCACAAAAAAACAACCACCAATACCAAACTATATACAATAACTAATCAATACAACATATATACATATATATATATATATATGCACAACATAATAATAAACACAATTCACAAACAATAAAGACCATCAAATACTATAAACCAACACAAATACACAAAACACAACAAATTTAACAACTATTAAAACATCAAAACAAATAAACTAATATTAAGAAATAAATCAAACCCAACAAACACAAACTAAAAAATACAAAAAACAACACAAATAATTACATATAAACACAAACAACAAAAAACACAAAACCACAAACAACAATTAAACAATCACAAAACATAAATAACTACAATAGAAACAACACAAAAAAACAAACAATCATAAACACCCTCTTCCTAATAATACACCTCCTATTTTATTAAAATCGCCGACGCTTTTAACCAAAATCATTTTTAAATTTAATCGTTTAATATTAATATCAAGAAACTCCTTTTTGAACTTGATAAAAAAAATGCTAATATACAATATTTAAATACATAATTTAAAATAAAATATCAAGTTCATTTATTTCTCCCCCAAACATATTAATATAATAAACATAAAATTATGTTCATCTAAATAAATTCAATTATTAATAACATATAATCAAATAATTGTATTACACACCACCGCCTTTACTTTTAAACACCAACACATCATTACAACGACTCCACATATGATTCATATAAGTATTACACCATCGCCTTTAAAAACACAACCAACCTCGTCATCAAAATATATTTATTGTAAAACTCACATTTAATATCGCTTCAAATATATCGCCTACCACAAAATACATACTTAATTTCGTAAAACATATTCAACCGTTGCAGACACTGTTGCCTTCCCATCAAGTGGGTTCGCAGTGAAACTGCCGGATTCGGCTCAAAGCTTGCTACAAAAGGTCAAGGCCAAATCTGACCCTGTGACAAGCGAACTCTCGAATTCGCACTTGTATATGGTTGCGCCGAAGAAACTTGGCTCGTGCCACCAGCAGCTACTGTCAGCTGAGGGTTCTTCAACAAGAAACAGCCCCACCCCCCTTTGTGAACAATCCTCAGCTGGTGGCAATGCTAAGGTTGTCTGCTGGCGCAAGGACGCAGCCAGTTAACTGAACCACGGCCAGGGGCTCTGCAGAGAGCATCTCCACTTTTCCTGCGTGAACAACAATCGCGTTCAAAGCCTGAAATACTAGCATCACACCACCAATCCAAATCACCAAATGCGGGAAGCTGAGTGACCCGAAACGTTAGAGAAAGGGGACCAGTCCTTGTTGGGGCTGACACTTTTTGGAGAACACCAATCAGAAAGGGGAAAAAAACGTACAATTGAACAGCTGGGCATTACGTTGGATGGGTTGATACACTAGGGACCAAACTAGGTTGTGATTCAAAATCAGATTGGTAGCCAACTGTTGTGTACAAATCCAGAATCAACACACATGAGCAAGAAGGCAGCTTCAATGTGCATGTGTGTGCGCATCGGTATGTAGCTATGTAGGTGTGAATCTGCAGTATGTATTCATGCATGTAGGTAGGTAGATGTAATGCAATGCAAAATGCAATGCAACGTAATGTACTGTCCTGTATGATAAGTAGGCAAATGGGAATGCAGGCATGCAGGAAATAAACCACATCATTTACCGGAAGGGGCTACTCGTTACAAGCACTAGTTCCCTTGATCTAGTACGGTACCATTTAAATTTGTTCAGCCCTTCAGCTATTAATTGTTTTTGAGTTTGGGCCAGCTGGAAGACAGGCACGGCAGCACGCCAGCGGGGGCGGCAGGTGGTTGTTTGCACGCGTCAATGTCTGGACATCTTTTTCGAGATATGCCATGTGATGAAACGCTAGGGAATGTTTGGCAATGTGTTCCGTGATGCGACCATCTATGCATGTGCATACTTGATTTCCCAGCACGATTGACTGCCGGGCTATTGTACAATAGAGGCAACGCACTGTGACCACGTGCTGTGTCAAACGCGGAGACGCCCCAGGCAACGCAACATGGCGGTGTTCAATATTAGGCATTCAATGCAAGGTCAATCGTGTGTGATGTGACGTGTTGCGAATCAAATTGAAGCATTTATGACATGTGCGTGTTTGTCGGGTTTTAAACAGTTGCAATCCAAAGACTGCAAAAACGCTACATGACTGGGCTGCCCTCAGATCCCCCGCTAAAAGTTTGACTTTTAGTGGGTTAAATGGAAACTACCACTAAACACTAAAAAGCTAAAAGGCTAAGGAACCGGATGGCTGGGAGCCACCAAGATGAGTGAGGACATGAATTATGCGCAGCAATCTAGCTCCCAACCTGGATAAACCGTCAAAAGCCCAATCCGGCGATCGCTGGCATCGCCAAGCCGCTTGGACTGATCCTTCCCAGCGAGAACGGAGGCAGGGTATCCTCAGGCTTGGGCGGCAACACCCTCGTTTTGAGGCATTTGAACAACTGGCCGTGGTTGTCAAAAATAGGTTAACCCCGAAATGGAGCGGCAAATGGAACCGACGATTCAACCTGTCCATATCCTTGTGCAATTTTGACCCACATGTTGAAACATCCTGGCCTCCCTGGACTCCCAGTTTAGGCGTGGATTCTTTCTGAGTCCATGCCAAGCCGAAAGCCGAGAAGCTCAACACGTGAGCCATCATCAAAGCCCGGTATCAAAATGGTCCACCCAGAACCATGTAAGGAAATACAAGGGCGGAGATCCGCAGCTATTTATGGCAAGAAAATTGTCCCTTGACCTTCTACCCGAAGCGGTTTTGAGCACGTGGCTCACGCGAGGAAAAAGGGCCGGCCTGCTTGTCCTGCATGTTCTGCCCGCTCGCATAGCTGTTGAGCTGCGGCTCCAGCCAGCGCCGGAAATCCAACAGGTCCTAGCAGGGATCCTGACATTCTACACCTGGGTATGGGTCAAAATTGAACCACCAGGACTTGGACCGCAGGTTTGAGTCCTTGTTTCCATTTACCAGCCGCCTGAACATTGCCTTGCCAATGGTGGGTTCCCCCTATTTTTTGGTGGAAAAAGCCATGTTTCAAGTGGGCAACATGTATCCGCAACAGCGCGTGCAAGCGCAAACGCGAATACGGCCCGTTTAGACAAAACAAACGGCAAAGCAAATGAGTCACAATTGAATCAATGAATCAAAGCAACTGATTAACAAACCATTCATCGATGCGTCAAGAAATTAACCAATTAAAACAATCACCAACCAACCCACCAACCAGCCAACCAGCCAGCCAGCCAGCCAGCCAACAAATGCAAATGCAAATGCAAATACAAATGCACACAAAAACTCATAAACTCTTCGGGCAAGTAGCCGTCGATGATAGTAGTTTGCTGAGAGATGAGCCAGGAAGATCCTCTAGCTCAATCCTGGACATGCAGAAGCCGAGGCAGGTATGAGGCGAGGCAGGTAGAATCCATTCTTCCATTTGGCTAAGACCCCCCGAAAAAATAAACATACTTCCAGTAGTGATAGATTCCCTTTAAAACCAACAGGGGAAAAGAACAAATACTCTTAAGCAAATGGAAGCATTGGAACCCCAATGATCGTACATGGAGTCCAAACACTTGGCACACATGCTTTTCAGAGCTTCTCGTTGTGGTTTCAACGGTCATAGAACAAGCATAGTGGCCATGAAGCCCAAATCCGGGCTCTTGAAATGCCGCGCCCGGCCAAACAAACTCTGGGCAGACCGAGGCACCAATCGGCTGCTGGAAAGGCAACAAGCTTCGGGACGTCTCGGGTCAGCCCCATGGCGTGGGTTGATTGTGTTGATTTGGCAAATGGTTGAACCATGGCAGCAGTTTCATGAAATAGGGTGGTTTTCCTTTGGGTTCCATTTGAAGCAACGCCGAAAAAGGCACGTTCCAAGCAGGCATCCATTACACAATGCATGATGGGCAGCCACTTGTCGCATGTGCTGGGCGGTTCAAAATGTAATTTTAGCCAATTCTGATCCCTCTGGGAACACCCCCTTTGTACAACCCCAAGAAAGGGCCGTCTTCAGTTCATGTGGCCATGGGTCAAAACCCCATCATACCCCCAGTGAACATCCCAACCCCAACTAAAATAAAGCCTAAAATGGGTGGTGAATTCACCTACCAACCAAAATGGGATCCCATTGGTGTTGACCCACGGCCATGTCGCACATTGCTTTGGTCCTGATCCAACGCAGCTTCAACGTACTTTGGAAGTTCACGCCAAGCTGGATGCGCGAGTCTTGCACCAGCGGAAGCCAGGGATCTCTTCCATGGACCAACCTTGGTTGCGGCAACGACCCCCCGGCAAAAAGCGAACCACTTTTTGGGGGGTTTAGTGGAAACCCCCTTGATTTCCCCAAAAGCTAACGTCTAAAAATCCAACCCAATAGCAATCAAGCAGCGCCCCCAAATCCTCCGGCGCTTCCATCCCGCGCATCGTGCTGGTGCTCTCCGGTCCGTCCGTCGTGGCCTCCGGAGAGGCCTCCGAGTGGCCTGGAAACTGCTTCTGAACCTCACGCTGCACTCCGCTGAGGAGAGACCACAGTTGTTGGATTCGAACCTGGCGCCATTTGCTTTTTCGCACAGCCACCGAGTTGCTTCGCACTACAGCACTTCTGGGCCGCCCTTAGATGCCCGGCTAAAAGTTTAAGTTGTAGTGGGTTAAATGGACACTACCACTAACACTAAACACTAGCTAAGGGGATGGCTGGGAACCACCAAGACTTGTTTGAGTTTTCAACATGCGGGCACACAGCTTAAACCACGACAGTTCCTGCCTGAGCGCAAGCAAGTGTATCTTTGGCATCGCCAGGGCGAGACAGCTCTGTCTTTGTAAGCAGCAAAGGTGCCTGAGGCTTTCTCCCTCTCTCTTTTTGCCGGTTGTCCCTGACCCTCTGTTCCTCTGCCCTTGTGTCCCTCTGCGTCTCCATCTGTCTTTGTCTGTCTTTGTCTGGTTGTCTCTGGTTATCGGTCTGTCTCTGTCGCTACCATCCAATGTAAGCCTTCTTCCTGCTACGCCAGGCCTCTTCTCTGGATTCTTTTTTCGGAGATTGATTGACCATAAAGAACGCCAATAATTAAAACCCCGAACAAAAAGTTAACAATAAATAGTAAAAACCAAGATATGAAGGTTAAAGAAGGAAGGATTAGGACGTTGAGTTCCCACGGCTTCTATCGTTCGCTTCTCAGCCGGGCATGAACTTCCCTTATCTCCCTTCTCACCCTATCTCTTTTCCTTTCTCATTCTATTCTCGGTTTCTCTCATCCATGTTATTCCTCTTCCAAATTGATGAAGAAGAAGGGACTAACATGATAAACCCAGCGAAGAAAGGGAATGATGAACCTCTTTTCCTTATCTATTTTCTATATTTGGGGTTTTAATATTGGCGGTTGACCAAACATCAGAAAGAAGAGACAAATGAAAGAGAGAATGAGAAGGAAAGTAATAAATACTGACACACAAACACAAGCACAGAAGCACAGAAGCACAGAAGCACAGAAGCACAGAAGCACACAAGCACAAGAGCACAAGAGCACAAGAGCACACAAGCACACAAGCACACAAGCACACAAGCACACAAACACAAACACACAAACACACAAACACACAAGCACACAAGCACACAAGCACACAAGCACACAAACACACACAAATACACAAACGCACAAACACACAAACGCACACACGCACACAAGCACACAAGCACACAAGCACACAAGCACACCGGCACACAAGCACACAAACACAGAAACACAGAAACACAGAAACACAGACACACACACACAAACACACAAACA